ATAACTCATAAGTATATATGTATATATATATATGAATAGTTGATCGAAAGTCCACCTATTTTTGACCCTTCCCAAGCCATTGCAGAGAACTGTTTCAACTACTAATTAATAGTGAAGCATTGTGAGAAAATGTAAAATGGATGCTATGTTTAATTTTCAGGAATGACTTCAAATCTAATGTCAGACAGAGGCAAACCAGAAGCAACAAATGTTAGAGTTCTTCATGGTCAAATCTAGAAGTCTTTAGCCCCTGACCAGTCTATCACCACAACGGACACCGCTCTCCCTTCCTTACATTCCTTCCTCCTTTTGTCTTGAACTCTTTTTCTTGCTAGTTCCCATCAACAGCTCACACCACTTTCCTACTTCTTTCTTTTTTGGAATGGGGTAGGGACTCCTTTACAGTTTCTTTTTCTTCTTGCTCTTTAGCTTCTCTTTGGATAATGTCAATCCCTTCTATGGCTTTAACTAGAAAAATGAAATAAGTCCTAATAGTATCTGCCTGCCAGCCTCTCTTCCTGACTCCAAAACTCGACTTGATGCTTTCAACAGGACTTACTCAGAAGTCACATAAGTCCTTTTAGCACTTTTGCTTCTTTCTAAGTTGATCTCCTAATGGTTACCTGTATTCTCTTCCTATAACAAGGTATCTTCCCTGCTCGGTTCCAGGCCCTGTGCTAGTAGACAGCTGATTGACTATCTCATTCAATCACAGGACCATTTCTTCCACAGGTTCAAAGGTGAAATTTAAATATGACTAGAAAATAGCAAAAACCTACACCATTTTATAATTGTCTTCCTCTCTCTTTCTGAATCTAGTTCATCATACACAAAGTATTCTCACTAACTCTTTCTCTTCTTCTTCCTAATATCTCTGTGTCATTGTCTGTCCCTCCCTCCCGGTCTGTCTGTCTCTTTCACCTGCCCTCCACTTTTATGCTCCTTTATACACAGACATGTGTTATTTTCCCAACATAAAACATTCCTCCTTTTCCTTCATGGCAGTGCTCAACTCTCCTCTGAGATGTATTAGTCAAAACTGGATACACAGAAGTGTGAAAAATACAACTAACTTTCAGAATGGGAGCATGGCAGGAATGAGGATGACTACTGTGCTAATCAGTGATTGATTCTTCATGTGTCCATCCTCTTCTCTGAACACACAAACAGCTTAAAAGAAATGGAGTGCAGCAGATCCACTGCCTTAGCTTCAGCATCAGCACAACAGTTGGCACAACTTAGGAGTTCACTCAACAATTGTGGGATCTATTTTGCATTTTGATGCAGGGTCTTACCATTTAGCTACTGCTGGCCTATAAATCATGATCCTCCTGCCTTAGCTTCCTGGTACAGGTGTGTACCTCCATGCCCAGCCATGACTCACATTTTAATTAACTCTATGAAAGTTTCCAGAACCCCAATAAGATTATTAATAAGGAAAGCACTTAAGATATACCCATCTTTAGCATTCCTTAGTGCCTAAGGAAGACTCTTTCACATAATCCATGCTCCATATTTGTTAGATTAAAAAAAAAAAACTAACAGTAGTTTCTATGTACTATACAAGAGAGCAGGTTTTTTCCAACTCTAAACCCAAACACAGTTGATTAAACAGCTGTGTTTCTTTTTATTGAAAAGCACAAGTTAGCTTAAAATCCTCCAGTGACTTCCTACCTCAGAGGCCAAAGTCATTATAAAGACTACAAGGCCTGACCCCATCATCCTCAACCTGCTTGTCCCCTGTAGAATAGCACCTTATCAGAGCAGTCTTTCCCTGACCACTCCTCACATGTTTACATATACATATATACATACCAACACAGACATACACAAAACACATCTACTCCACAGCCCCAATCCACTCAATATCTTTCTCCATGCCCATCTTTCTCCATACCATCAATCATTTTCTAATTTATTGTGTGATTCATTTGTTAGTCATCTCTTTCCCCAGGTAGAATAAAAAGTGAATGATGTGGATTTAGGTAAATTTTATATGTTATCATATCTTCACTCCAGAAGTGGCATAGATTAGGTAAGTGGTCAATAAATACTTGCAGCACAAATGAACTGTCCTTTAAAATGCTGGATTCAAACAGTAGAGTTTGTCTTTAGTTTTTAAAGTTCCTTTATTTGTTCTATGGTTTTAAAGTATGATTAGCAAATAGTGTTCCACAGATACTCAAAATAGGACCCGGTGAACTATTGGTAATAATAAAACCCTGCTTTGGTTAGCCAGTTGCTATAGAGCTGCTTTTCCATAGAATACAAATTGAGGTTCTTAATTCACAGCAGTTCTTCTGTCTACATTTATCAATAATATACAAAAAGTGATGTCATTCTTAATAACCTGAGACAGAGTTCTTACTTGAAGTTATATTTCAACATAAATTCAAAAAATGAGAACAAGAATTTGTATGGCCACAGGAATTTTACATCTTCTACATCAATAGAAGTTTAAAAGTTCCTTAAAAGTTATTCATCAGTATATAACTGTACATGATGACTAAATAGCAGACCACATATACACATGATGCAAAAGCACACATTTTAGACCAGAAATATCTGGGGTGTTTTGTAGAAATTTTGTTACTATTTCTATACACACAGACTGCACCAAAACACAATGGTATTAGTCAATGACTAATGACTCTTTTCCTTATATTATGGCAACATTTCTTCTTCCTATGGCCAATGATAATCAGTTTGACCTTTGTCTTACAGTAAATAGCTAACTTCTGAAAGTCTATCTTAAGCAAAAAAGAAAAAATAAAAGTTATAAAGAGTCCATTCATATTTTTAACTAAGATCATTTCTAGTTTTCAGTGCCTATTATTATTATTATTGGTCAGTCATGGGGTTTGAATTCTGGACACTATCCCAGAGCTCTTCAGCTCAAGGCTAGCACTCTACCACTTTTAGCCAGAGCACCACTTCTGGTTTTCTGGTAGTAAACTGAAGATAAGAATTTCAGACTTTCCTGCCTGGGCTGGCTTGAACCATCATCCTATATCTTAGCCTCCTGAGTAGCTAGGATTACAGGCATGAGCCACTAGTGCCTGGCAAGTGCCTATTATGTTCTCATGATATATTTGACAGAACAAATAATGGAAATGCTTGACCACAAGTCCATCTCACTTTTTTTGACAGTAAAGGGCAATTACTGCACTTTCATAATACAATTACAACAGAAGAAATGTTTGTGCACCATGAAACTAACTCACATAAAACTTCAACAGTACTTGCAAGTCTCCTCATCTTCTTTATATACATGACTACTTTATACAGAAAAAAAGATTAGAATAGAGGCCAGACAGAATAGAGGCTTTAACAATATGAGTCTTGCATTATACAGCAATGCTTTACTTAATAATAACTATTACTAGAAGAAAAAGCAATAGTTTGGCCTTTTGAGAAGCTGAAAATCTTTCAATACCATCAGTTTATGATTTTGTTGGTTTGTTTGCAGTGTTGGGCTTGAACTGCAGACCTTCTGCATGCTAGACCAGTGTTCTCTACTCTGAGCTACAGTCCTCAATGCCATGTTTACCTACGAAAATCATAAAATCTTTGTATTTTCCCTTCATAGAATTATTGTACCAGGGATTACCCTAGAGAGCATTTAGTTCAATACCTTATTTTTCAGACAGTAGAGGAGAGACCCCAAGACTTCAGCTGGTTTGTGCTCCTGTTTGACAGGCTCCTTCTGTAGATCCTCAGCACTTTAGAGCTTAGTAACACCCTGAGGATAAATCCACAAGGCAATTTTACAGAATTCTGGAGCAAAAGGCTTCTGGGGTCATAGAGCTACAAATTCCTTATCAAGTGATTCATTCTTTGGTCATTCAAAAATCATCAAACAACTTACACAGCATCTCAATAAGAAATAGCATATTCTACTTAAAAATTCTACCACCCCCCTTTTTTGTTTGTTTGGTTTGAAATAAGGTCTTGCTGTAATATGTAATAGCCCAGGCTGACCTTGAACTAATGAAAAACCTGTTTCTGGAATATTGGGGTTATAGGTATGCACTACTATGCCTGCCTCATTAATTTCAACTTTTGAGGATTTTCATCTTTTAGGCTGAAAGTTTTCTCTATAACTTCTTCTTACTTCCAGACGCTTCACGGAAATTATCACATACCTACAAAGCCTCAGCATATGCAATCTCTCTCATAAGATCAGCTCTCCAGGTTCCATACCACTCCAGGCACAGCCTAAGGCTTCGACACCTTCTTAAAATGCAACAGTCAGAACCGACTAATAAAGGCCAGATCAGTACTGGGTAAGAGCAAATATCACCTCTTATTCTAAGCACTATATTTATAGTAATTTTCCCTACAAACAAATTGCATTTGGCCATATTACACTGTGGGCTTAAACTGAATCAACTAAAGCCATGAGGTGAGCAGCGAGACTCTCATTCTGTATGCAAGAGGCTGGACTTAATCTATAATTGTTCCCTTCAGCCACCCTCACCTTTGTCCTGTCCACACAGTACTGATTCAGTCATCTGGTCTCTGCCTGAAAGCAACAACTAACCTGGGTCTCCTGACAACGACTGGTCTGCTCCCACTCACCACAGAAACCCATTTCTTTGTCTGATGACAAGATTTAGAGAGCATGCTTGATACTAAGTTTCTAGGGAGAGAGTATTGTCAAAGTTGACATACTTTTCCTTAAAACATTTTAAAATCCAAGCTTTTAAGCAGAATATCAATACAAAACTGTCAGTAACGTATGATTCTTTGTTTTTATGCCTGAGGTTTATTTTTTATGCTTAAATCTTTATAGAAAAATTTATAAAGTTCCATAGATATCAACAATTCATAAATTCCAAGGGGCTTTTGGATAGCTGTCTTTAAAAAAGAAAAAAGGTTAGTATCAGAAAAAATCTCACTTCCCATTTCAAAAAAAAGTACACACACGCATATGTGAAGCTAACTGATTAGTACTCTTGCCCTGTCACAGGGTGACAGGAAAAAAAGCGCCACCATAAAAGGATGTCAGCACAGTCTCTTAAAGCAACATGCCACACTTAACTTGCTTCAGCTTGGGCAAATACTGACTGCTGCTACAGAGGCCCTCAGAAGCCGTTGGTGGGTAAGTACTAGACACTTTGCTTTTTCAGTAAATTCTTTTAAGAAAAGCTTTGAGAGCTTAAGTTTTAAGGTAAAAGAAAAGGAAAAGAATTGACTAGATGACCAGCTATAAATATACTTAACAAAAATTACATAAATATACTTTGGATCCTCTTGATTATTGGCAATTTTAATTAGCTACTGTTAAGTCAGGTGAAAACCACGATGGGTCATGGCAGAAAAATTACTGCCAAAAAATTGGACTCCCTTTTTGTACTCTTTTTGAGTAAACTTAGAATGACAAAACAAGAATAAATTTAGGAAATCAAGAATAAATTAAAAAATAAAAATCAATAAATTAGCAAAAAAAGTCAATACTTTAATCTGAAGGGATAGGAAGGTTTCTTAAAACAGACTATTCATAAATGGGAACGTACTTTATATGCATAATTCAACATAAGTAATTACATTTCACTGACTATGTATCTATGTACATGAGAATCTTTTCTATACTTAAGATTATTTCTCAGGATGGAATGCCAGTAATAGAATTCCTGAGGCTAAAGGTATATTTTGTAAATCTCTAGTAAATAGTATTTTTAGTTTACAGAAACTGATTTTATTAATTTACTCCCCCACCTAACAGAGTATGTGTCTGAGCTTTGTCATATCTCGGAAGTTAAGATAACTTTGATATAGCAACCATTTGGATAGATAAAAAAATATAATCTGTTGTTTAGTTTGTATTTATTTGATTATCAGTAAAGCTAAACAAAATTCTGTATGTTTCCAACAGCTTCTTTTCTAAAAAAGAAAACAATTCTCAAACAGAAAATTATATGCAGTGATTTGTTAGAATTTATATCCGGGTTGAAATGGAGGTAATAGATATTATAAGGCATGAGGAGATTTCCTCTATAAAAGGGCGTAGGGTTCGGCTATTGTTTGGATAAGTATTATCATTATTTGCTGTCCTTCAGTATACCAGAGAACTGATCTCATCCCCATGAGACTTGAACCATTATTTACAAGGTGTTCAGTCTCATGCAAATTGCCGCACATCTCTGGCTTTGGTTGTTTCTTTGTAAATAGGGACAAATATTTCTGCCAAGTCCTATGACACTGCTTTCACAGTAAGTGCTAATTGTTATCTACCATACTCCCATCCCACCGTTCATCTGCTGAGGGTGAAGCCAAACAGGCAGTTTCTGTACCCTATCATTATTTCTCCTTATTTGAAGATTATTCTTTTCTGGAGTATTTTACATAAAGATCTGGGTCTGTGGGTGGTGGGACATCTACACTTTCTTTCACAGCATGTTTCTCTCTGAGGTTTAATTGTTCTTTTTGAACCCAAAACTGCAAGAGCACATGGTTCCTTGAAGCATTTTCACTCACAAATTCATATGTTACGTGGGTGGCTGTGGTGAAAATTCCTTCTTTAAGTTGCCTCTGGCAGGCTGCCTTGAGTGTACAGCAGCCGGTTAGTTAGTGGAATAAACACTAATTCAGCCATGAGAAGCCTTATGGATCATACCTAGTACAGGTCAGACGGCAGTAAAACGTTAAGAGACAAAGTTGTCTTTTAGCATGCTGCCATCTAGAAGGGCCTTTGCCACCTAATAAATGGAGGGTTTCCAGGGAGACTTTGCTCTGGCATGATGAGGCCCTAGAGGGTGGCATGGGCCAAGGCCAGGCAGTGTCTTCCCAAGAAGTCTGCACAACCCTCAGCTCCCAGGCAAGAGGAGATAATGTGTGAACATTGTGTGCACACTTAGGAGGAATTTGAATTCTTATGAAGCTTGAGGCTCATTGAGAATTTTTTTTAAATCTTATTAATTATACGAAGTTACCCAAAAGCAGTATGAAAATAGCTGAACAGCATAAAAGCTGTATCAGGTATTCATCTAATTCTTTCTACTGAACTTTTATTAAATACTGTTAAAAGGAGTACATTCTAACCTCATTTCTGAAACGTATCATTACTTTCAAATATGCTATAAAGTAATAGATGAATTTATCTGGCTAAACGGTCGCTTATCACCTAGGCCACGCCTCCTAGGCTATTTTTCAGATAGGGGTCATGTTTTACCTTGGCCAGCCATGGGACTACAATCTTCCTACTTACGCTGCCCAAACAGCAGGGACAACAGATGTGAACTACCACACCACTGTTGTTTGTTGAGATGGAGGGTCTCCAGGTTTTCTCCAGGCTTGCCTTGAACTGTAATCCTTCTGATCTCTACCTTTCAACCTGCTGGGATTATAGGCATGATCCACTGCCCAGCCCAAAGGCCTTCATTTAAATCCACCTATTTCCTTCTTTCCTTAACCCTTCTCAACTCTCTTGTTCAAAAAAAAAAATGAGTTGATCTATGTTAAGGTTTTGAGATGCTTTCCTACTCCACTGGTTGTCTATCCATTCTATCAGATCATGCTGGAAATAGAAGTAGGGGCAAAACACACCATACTGAATGTCATTTCTGGAGTCAAAAGGCTAGGGTTTTGAACCCTGACACTTTACAGGCATGTTAAGGCCAGTCACTTGAGGGATCTGTGCCTCAGTTCCACTATCTGTAAATGGACTGCTGGAAGAGCACAGGCAGGATGCTCAGACAGTGGCTGGAACACACACACTGCACTAAATAGTACAAGTCACCTATTCATAAAGGGCTTTCCTATGTCTAACACAAAATCTTTCAGTGAGGATCACATGGGCTGATATTTGGCTACTCCTTTAGTAATGCACATCTACTGACTATCAATTCTCAGTCATCTCCACCTCAGTACAGAAGCACAGTGACCTCAACAACATGGTTTCCCATGTTCCCCAGCAAACAGCCCATCCTGCCTTCCTGGGGCAGGGTAGAGGAGAAGGCAGGAGAGTGGAGACCAGGAAAGTTTTCAGAGCATCTGGTTTCCAAGAAAGTTTTAATGGAATGAAGGAGCTAAGAATGCAAAACAGGGGCAAGGAGAGAAGAGTGTTAATGGGCACAGATGTGTGAAGAAATACACAACTCCAAAGATAACACAGTTTAATATGGCTGGATCCTGGGCATGAGGAAGAAGCTGTCCAGCAAGCAAAATGAAAAAGGAGCAAAGCCCAATACCAAGCAAGGAAGCTGTGGTCAAAAGCTTTCATTTTGTCACGGCCAATGGACACCAGCTGCAGGGCTCTGAAGGCACTGCTATGGCTCCTGAAAAGAGAAGGGAGGGAGAAATGCAAGGAAGGAAGCAGTCAGGCAAGGCACTGGGAGCAGACAGAGAGACAATGCAGAAGCAAGCACAGGATTGAGAAGGCTAGAGGCCTAGGCCAGCTAACTGAAGAATGAAGCCCTGGCCACTGTATGAACCCTCACTTGGAGCATGCTGAGCAAATGTCTGAATTCACCTGGAATTCACTTTACCTGTAAAACAAGGAGATTCAATGTTCCTATTTTCAATGAGATAACAGATCAAACTGGAAACTCCCTTGAACTTCAATGAGAAAAGGTCATATTATTTCTAGGGACATTTAGATTCAGTGAGGAGACTCACACCTGTAAAAGCCTTTTCTGTTATACAGTTAATGCTCCTGACACAGGATCCTACAAAGTATGCCACATGGAAATACAGTATCTGTCTTCTTTATTCGGTAATGAGCATCACAGTGGGGTTGTTAAAAATTTCTAACATTTCTTCTACACTACATCATCTTCATCTCAGATAACTTTCATACCTTCCTAGTCAGTATTAAACCTGCCCCAAAGCCACACAAGGAATAATCAGAAAAGAAGGAAGAAAAAAAATAGCTAGAATATGTACAATCTTAAATGTGCAGGTGTTTAACCAAATAATCTCACTCCTTGGCACTTTCACTTTCTATCAATTCCAATGGGCAGTGTGTGCTGTTGAAGCTGGTCTTCACTGAGTGCCCACTGGGGTCAAGACACTGGAAGAGGCAAAGGACAAACTGCAGTCTAGTGAACACTTCTTTGTTCTATCTTGAAAGAGTTCTCTGTCCTGTCAACCGCTCTTCCATAGACTACTGCAGGATGTTTTAAATCAGCTATCATACGGTCAGCAGCAGTGTCACTGACAAATGACACCTTGGGAAGGCTGCTTATTTCACCCCCTCAGTTTATCACATTTCCTTCCACAAACCAGAGAAAGCAAGCTCCCCTCAGACAGGATGACCAACGTTGGCTCCACTAAGAATTACACACACTCTGCTACATGTGGTTTTCCAGGAGGACATAGATAGTGAGAAAATGTTGAAGGACAGACTATCAATTTAGGACTCAAAGATGGTCATGCAGGAAAAAAACAACATATCATAGTATACACAGATTTATTTAACTAGGTCACGGGGCAGATATTATTAGTAAATTAGTGGCACTAGAACAGACAATCTAACCTTACCATGAAGTGACAAAGGGCTGCGCTGTGCAGTCATAATCAGGAATTCATGTTCCCATCTCCCATTTTATGGGCCAACAGCACATCCTGCATCTTGGGGGACAACTGTTTAGTCAACTCATTGATCAAGTGCTAAGGACTTGGTTTGTGTGACACTGGACCAAACTTGGATGTCCCATTTGAACAAGAAAAAGGAAGCCTTTTATAAATGTTTGACAAATGCTTACAAACTTAGGTAATCAGAGGAAATGTAATGAATGATTTCGTCCTTCCATGGGGCATGTTTGTTGTCAAGGGAACCAAAAACAGCTTCAACTACTGTCTGGATACATCCGTGTTGATCTGCATTTCCTTAGTAAGACCCTAACCTAACCACCATAGTTTTATGCCTCCATTCCCCTCCCTTCACAATGACTTCATTTCTCCCCATTTTCCCTCAATCCTACCTTTCTTCAAGAAAATAGCCACAGGACAAGTAAACAGGGAAAGAATGGAGTCCAACAACATTCATAACTTCACAAAAATACTATAATTGTTATATCTATGTGCCCATACTTCGGTGGCTCCACTAGTTATTTCTGAAAACATGCTCTTGGAACTTCCTCTTTGGTGCATGCCAGAATA